ACATTTTGATAGGAGGTTATTTTGGTAACAGCAAGAACTCTGGCGAAGTTCACCTTTCCAATTTCTATTCCCAAAGGTTACTTCTGTGGCCGAATTAACACAAGTTCAGAAAGTGTTATAGTGAAATGCGGAGTGAAATATAATGGACCATGCATTCAACATTGACCTCAGGCATGCCACATGCATTGAACTCCATTCGCAAAATTGTAGAGATGATTGGACATATCTGGCCTATGCAATGACTTGCGTGCCCTACCCGTTGTGTCAAGTCAATGCTTTTATGGTCCGACATGAATTCCGTATAAAATTCCCAAGCCCTCAAGAGTTGGTGGGTTCGCTCCAATAGAAAGATCGAACCAGCGATAATGTGCGCCACAGATCACCTATAAGAACTGCTCTGCGTGAGCATGCAGCTGTTAAGATATTAACTAAACTTCCTGAGTTCTCCATGCAGGCCGAATGTAAGATTTTGTGACATTGGAACGTTAGTACTAAGAAAGAAGAAATCAAACGTTGCTGATGCTATGAAATCTCTACTAAGTGAACAGATAAATGAATATACTAATGCGACCATCTGCCAAGCTTGACTGCTCAGCCACTTGTACGTCGTTCTCTGAAGTATGTATCACATTTGCTCGTTGACTTCGATCGCCTTGGGTATTCAAATGGATTTTCCTAAATGTCTTATTGCACATTCGCTCGTTCTCACATCTTTCCAGAACGCCCTGAAAGCGAAACTCATGGACTGAAACATTTTCAAGTACTGTTTGAATTAAATAACGATTTCAATATTCTTAATTTCATGGTGTTGATTACGAAATCCGATGTTAGATGACGGTCAGTTTTTCTTTTGGATATTGTAACCCTTTCGTGATAGATTATAAAGCTACCGACTCTTGTAGGATGGATCGCCCATTGAAAAAGAAATTATTATCAATGGAAAATCAGTATCATCGGAATCAAAAGGACATCGCCGAATGAGGTTTCTTCATTCGGGTAGTTCTGCACTTGAGGATTCCACTCGACGCGACAGCGAAGACATCACATCGAGAAGACGAACGACTGCGGATCACCGACTCAGTTCAGTCGGGCTTCGAAGAAGACGAAAACATCAAAACATTGGCCGAATAAGCCTTTTTATCAAGCTCGGGTTAGCTTAACACTTCAGGAAAGTATTCCTAATTTCTTTTAATATTTGTTCTTATTGCATAAAATAGTCCCTCATTTGCAATTCATATTTTCCTGAAATCCTTTTTTAGTTAGCCTTTCTATTTATGGAGTACCGGCTGACTCGTTATCACTATAGTGTTTACATTCTACGAACATGTCGCGATAACGGACAGTTTACTAGCAATACAAATAATGTCCACTCAAATCACGGTCTTCTCTAGGTTTTATTTACCATTCATCACTTTTTCAATTAACATTCCCGGAGCAAACGCCTTCACCACCACACTATGTGAGTCCTTCTTTTCTTCTTTATCTCAGCTGTGTTATTGACCTATTATTATTGATAGCTCCTGTAGGTCAATAACAAAGCTGAGAAACAGGGGAACCGAAAGACCCGCATGGTATGGTAGTAAACGAATTAGCCTCCGGAAAGGGTAATACCGCGTTTGGTCCACACCACAGACACCAGCGGTCGCGAGTTTTGCAAATATCTCAGTAACATTACGGCTATATTTCATATAATACTCTAACATTAAAAAAGTACTCAGTAAGTAGAAAATACTCTTACAAGTTGGTGAAATATCTGTAGTACTAATGATGATCTTACTTGTAAATAAACCGCCATATTGACAAAAAATAAGTTCTCAGCACGTTGTTGTGAGTGGGACTGTCCACGTGTTGTTCACGTGGTGTGACGAGCGAGACCCATTCAGGTTAAAAAATCATTTTGAAGGAACCAGGTCACCTGTGATAATGAGACATTCGTTTTTCCGGTTCAAAGGCAATTTGTAATAACACATAGATAACTATATCGATCCCCATGACCGACTTTCTGTTAACCTCGGCATTAATTGATAATTCAATGTTTTTCATCAATAAGCAGACACGAGGTTGTTAATATAGAATTTATTAGAACACAATTGCTGACGTTTCGGCGGTTTCGCCTTCTTCAGAGCCTGGAAAGGTCAAATTGAGATGCGACCATGTATTACTCTGTGCGGCGGCTATCCACCAACTAACTTAAATACTTACAACAAATAAACGGTAGGTGTTTGAATGAAGCTGTTTCTTATGCGAATACAAATCGATTTATCAAGTTTTATCTGCTAGGGTTATGAAAGTGTTTGGCTGAGTAGATCGCATCTCAATTTGACCTTTCCAGGCTCTGAAGAAGGCGAAACCGCCGAAACGTCAGCAATTGTGTTCTAATAAATTCTATATTAACAACCTCGTGTCTGCTTATTGATGAAAAACATTGAACTATATCGATCATTTATACTGAGGTTTAAGCAATTTTAACATCACATGCTTTCCGATAATCCTCAAGGAATTGCCCAAGAGGTACGTTAATAATGATTGCATTAGCACTCGATTGCAGCAAAAAACAGATGGAGGCAATCCCTGATAAAGAACTGTCTTTCAGTTGCTAGAGGCAAGGTGAAGTCCGCACCAAGATCCCTACAGTATTTTTCCTATTTAAACTTCAGCGGTACTTTGTCTTCTCTTCTTTGAAGGTGTCGAACTGCGATATGTAGTGGAGGTTCTTTCTCCAACAGGATCTCCCAAGTTAAGGAGTTGTCTCTTATCCGGAAGCTTAGTTAAAAATGTAACACTCTACGTGTCACATTTGCTACTGTAGTAAGCAATGTCGGCAAGGAAAACTAAATGGCGCACATTCGAGGTATTTCATAACTAGCAGGCTTACAGGTGGCACAAATGACTCGGGTATTTCTGTATCATCGCAGTTTTAAGGCAGGTGCATGTCGTTTGCTGTGTGTTCCAGTGCAAATTATATTTTCGGTCCCTGCACACTTGACAATTATTTTGTATAAATCTCTTATGGAAGTGACATTGTTAAACTAGCAAACATCTACATTAAAATATTTACTTACTTGATGCTTGAATGGTCCGTCTTCACCGGCTGTGTTGGTCCCAACAAAACCTCCATTTCTTGGAGATTTGCTGGTGAAGCCATTGTGCTTCTCCGGAATGCCGAGGTCAGCCTGGCCAAAGCCTGCCCCAGGCTTTCGACACCACCAGTAGTCGCAGCCCTTGTGGATGACAAGGAAATTTTCCACCATGCGACCTTGATACCAGGACGGTGGTTGATTCTGGTTTTGGTTTACTCTTAGCTAGGCTTCCTAATCGGAACGCCGAACTGCTTCTCAGCATGGGAGACCCTGCTAAGGGGGTGAATCTCCTCGCTGTACATCGCAGTCAGACACACAGGAACAGCTCCCATTCACGATGAGGCGGCAAACTGTTGGGAGGACATCAAAAAACACTTCTTTAAATCCTCGAAGCTTGAAATAAAACCAATAGCGGTACACTTTTTTATTCGTCTGATGTTCTCCTCCGTTCGATTTGACTCGACACGACTATGAGAACTTAAATCGTAAGAAGTCAATCCTGTGAGCATCGCACTTGCATCTTCACGGCTCTGAAGAAGTCGGTAATACCTGAACATTGGCCAAAATGGATTTTTAGAAGAAAATCGTGCAAGCGTGTCAACAAAACAAAGTCCTGCTTCAGATGGCCGGTGCTCATTGGATAGGAATGATTCTCAACCATTTCCCGCTCAATCCGATTTCATTCAGAAGTTCATTGTGATTACAAGGTAAGCCAATCGTATCTTGTCTATGGCGAAAATCTCGCCCATGATCGTTAGCACTGGGCTTTCGGGACTATATTCTACTTGGTGATCTTACGACATATAGATAGCAGTAGCGAAAAGTAGTGTGGACATTAAGAACATTGAGAGCGAAGCGTCTTTTCCCTTTCCACTTCTGATATTCACTTATTCGTTTCATTTTACAAAGTCGCACCATTTTACAAACTATCGACATGTGACTGAAAGCACCAGGAAGATCCAATAAGGATAAACTCATATCATTTTAAGAGTAGTGGGAAGATGTTGTTATAGCAAGCCAACGATACAAAAACGTCTGTATCCGACCATCTTTAAACCTAGACAACTAATTCAATGTTTTTGATTTGAATCGCAACCAAGGTTGTTCCTAAATTTAGTTTAACTCTCACTGAAAGCTGCATCCTTTATCGCCCATCAATACACATGCAATCGTCAGTTCGATCGATCTGTCTCCTCGAGCTAACGATGCCTTCCGTCTATGTGTGGTTGGCAGTTTGGTACCTGCCCAGTCACGGGGAATAGAAACTGATTTGATACATTGGTAGGCCTTTACAATGTTTAATGTTTAAGCCTGTATTCGCAGCTCACACCTAAGAAATCCTCCCGTATATGGCTACACCCATTTAGATGTAGTTTAGAGGACCCAGATAAACAATCTGAAAACAACAATCTCCTTCCACTTTATTGTTCCCTTCAATAAAGAACACCACTCCAAATCCTACGGCACAAGCACAGTTTGTCCTTTCCGAAAACGAAAACCACATGGATTGTGGGACCCCTTCCTTCCTTTCTTCACTACCAAAACACTTGTCAGAAAACGTGTGTCCTTTAAACCTACCACATGACATTTCATGTTTATTGCAATAATTGATAAAAAGCCTATCTAAGACTGGTTAGATTAGGCAGTCAGACACTAGACGAATGCGTAGTGTAGCAGAGTGCTACTAATAAGAAACAGGAGAAATGACGACATTGTATGGTAGCGGTTAAGATAGAGAGAATCACTAATTTGGAACGAGGTCAACGATTTCACATACACGATTTTCACTAAACTGATTGATGATAACGTAATAATCAACTATGTAAGAGATAACAGCACCCGAAGTTTAGTCTCAGGGTGTCGAACTAGTACAAATTCCAATATTCCAGAGTGAAGCAAACAGAGCACAAGACATTAAAATCACCCAGGACGTAAGCCTTGACCGGGCACATGATGAGACCAGTCTGCCACTTGAGGACTCATAGTTAGGTTCCTACGGGACGATGAGCTGTAGATCGGGAGAACTTCACTGGCTTCCAAAGGTATAGCCTGAAAAAACCGCTATTTGAGCATGCAGAAGGGAAAAAATCTCAATTTTAGTATAGGGAACATGTCATGGTCTTACTGTAATTCTAGCCCGACTATCACAGGATGCCCAGGAGAACAGCGTCAAACGGCATTCAACGACATTTATAAAGAAATCCTCAAGAAGCAGCGACTTCACAAGGGAAGAATTCGAAGACCTTCGTTGGCGACTGCTGATAGGAAACAAATCGAACGCAAGAATTGTTGGGGTCGGCATAGTTCATGTGAAGAAAGGTTTTGTATAAGGGTAATTAGTAAAGTAATAGTAGTCGAATGCCGTATGAAAAGTTTTAAGTCACCCCGAAAAGAAACATCTTTATATATTTTTAATTTAACCAATACACAATGAAAGGAGATTAACGAGTGAACCTTCAAATAAACGCATGCATCTGTTCCGTAACCTTCCATTGACACAAGGAACAAATCACCTAAGAAGTAACGAGCATAGAGACGAGAAAGTGGTAAACCATACCCATAACCAGCCTAAACTTCAGACACATCAAATAAAGTTTACGATAACCGTCAAAAGATTTAGAACATCCGGGAGGCGACGTAAAATAACTTTAAGAAATCAAACCACAAATACTAACCAAAGGTGCCTGCGTACCATCCCTCGGTGGAGGTGGTGCAGTACTATACATGTAGTTAAAAAGTTGCTCTAATATTGTTCTAGAAACGCCACCACCACGATCGCATATCTGAACATTACATGGTAAAACAAAGAGAATCAGAATGATTAGAATCCAAAAGGAACCTTGATTGACAAATCAGCATGCCCTCTAACAACGAAGACCTTGATTTCAGGAAGGTCATCGTCAACACCATGGTGTTCCACAGTTGCTCTCATAGCATTCTAAACTTAAGTGATTTGAAAAATGGTATAAACACATCTGTTTCCATAATAGACAAGTACCTTCAGCAATTCAAACATTATATGATAAAGATGACTCGGCACCGCGACAATTGAGATTGGTCTTCCTTTCTCGACGGCATTGTGCAGTTCGAGCTTCATAGAAGGACTCGTCAGATAGTACTGATCACATAAAAATCTAAATCGAAACAGTTTTTAGGTTGAGGTGAGCTGAGTAAAACAAGATAAGCAAGTAAGAACAACTTTCCAAAGACAGGTTTTATCCCTAACATTGCACAAATATGTGGCCCCAAAAAAACCTGAGTAATAGATTAGAAGCTTTGTAAGAATACGTCAGTTTCTTGAAATTACATAACACCATAAAAGCATGATTTAACAATGTAATGACCAAAAATATCTTTAACAGATTCTCAATGGATGGCTAGCTGATTGATACCCTTCGACGAGAACAGATGACTGGGAGTCGAATAAACGGTGGATTTCATTCTCAAGAGTTATCGTCGATGATTTGAAAAGAATCAGAAGCAGTATGGATACTTCCAACAGAAAAGGAGCTTCGAGTATGGTTTTGTTGTTTCCTTAACGTTATCTTCGCAGCGTACCCACGAACATTGTAATCCAAAAAGCAAACTTTGTTCTGTGCGGGATCCTCTTGAACAAACTACTTCAGACAACTTTAGAAATTCAGTAGCACAAACGTAGACACGGCGACAAGACCAAGACAATGATTGGCAGGAGCTCATATGACAACCGTCCTTTTAGCTTCCAGTAAAGAAAAAGGTTTATTTTACATGGAAGTTCGGCTAGAGTTCACGTAGCGCAATTTTCCTTGTCAAACCTAGTGAATTTTGCAAGCATGACTGCCATACTTACTTGAATACTTGGATGGCCCATCTTAAGTGGTTGTCACTGGACCCCAGAATAATTTCCATTTTTTCGTAGTTTTGCTGGTTTAGCCATTGTGGCTCCCTAGAGCGCCGAGGTCAGCCTGGCCAAAGTCAGCTCCAGGTCGTCACCACCACAGTGAGTCGCAGCCCTTGTGGATCAGAGGGAGATTTTCCACCATGCGAGTAGTTTAATACCAGGATTGTAGCGGATCCTGGCTTTACTTCTAGCTGGGTTTAATTATGTAAACGGGGGACCCCTCTCAGCTTTGGAAGACGAATCCCTGGATGACCCTGCCAGGAGGATGAATCCCCACGATGTACATCGCAGCCCGCCGACACCCAGGAAAGCCTCCTAGCCACGATGAGCTGGTAAAGCGTTGGGACGACTGCCATAAGAGACCAATATCTCACCTCTATTAACAATTTTATCAGTGTCCTTCCTTATTGGGAAAAAAAACTGGTTTACAATACTACTAGTTGTGACAGCCGTTAAGGATTAGGTGTAGAGTAAGCCTCTTTAGTTAAAACTTTTCATATGTATTCGAGAATACCTCCAAATTCTTCCAACCTAACACTTCTAAGAAACATCTAAAATAAGCCTACCTTGCGTTTTCGAAAGCATCGTGGACAACACTTTCAACATCACATGCTGGATCAATGCAGCCAACATGTCTTGGACTTTCCGGGAGGACATTTCCAAATACAACCTAAAATTATAGATAAACATCATGAAGGTACAATAACCAATGGCTAGTAGCGCAAATTTTACAGGCAGTTTTGCACTAAGACAGAAGTCCATAAACCTTTGCCCAAGCAACACAAGATGATTCTCAATCACTCTATGTAAGAAATCAACTAGCAAAGGCCTATCTATGTGTAGTCATAAGCAGTTTTTCAGAAAAGATGCCTTCACCGATGGCTATTACGAGGGCTGTCAAGCCTGTTTGGGTTGGTTGACCAACCACTCAATCATAGTACATATTCAACTCCTGGTTTTCTTCATTCACTAAATATCATATCAGATACTACCATATTTTAAAGTCATTCGTATAAAGTTGTAGCGGTGTAGAAATCTAGCGCATATGGTGAATGGATACACCAATTTTGGGCACAACAGATTAAAGAAAACAAAAAAAATTCACAAGATGCTGATTTTGTAGCATACGTATAGAAATACGATTGATGTAAAATCTGTCCAGGAAATACTGTATTCCTGAAATTAAACCGCTTAATTTAATGTGGAATTCACAAAAATAAACCAATTTGCTAACCTTTTTCGCTAGCAATATCCACACCAGTTTCCCTCAACTCGATTAGACCTTCTGCCATTGTTTCAACAACATGTGCGTGTCGTTTAAGTATCAGCTGAAGCTGATCGTTGAAACTGGAAAACACGGAACAAGTATGACCTTTGACAACCGATTAATATAAAAAAGGACAACGCTCTTGGCATTGGTCAATTCCTGAGAAATGCGCCATGCATTCGACTTCATTAAGCATCGTTGGAGGTGATTGAATACATATAAGGCTTTTACAATGATTCGCGGTGGCCTACCGATGTATCGACCTAGTGCTGCTAACCTATCAGACAAGTCTGGTACCAATTTACCGACTCCGAAGGGATGGAAGGCTTGATGGGCTGTGGGCGCAGAGATCGATCCCATTTGTATTGCACAGCGCCTCCGACCACTGCGCTACACATACAGCGCCGATTAAGATAATCCACTAAATCTAAACCCCATATCAATGCTCAGCTTCATTAAAACGGATTCAAATACAAACCAATTAATTGTATAGCCAGAGAAAGAAGATACTTACGCATCGATATTTTCCACTGTTGGGGCAGCATTTTCAAATTTCAAGAGGTCTTCGAAGCTTTCACAATACCATTCACTAACCAATTTCGAACTTGGCATTTGTAGTAGTTTTGGAGGAAGTAGTGAAAACTCCTACAAAGATGGAAAATCGTACCTCAATGAATATGAGGATGAGACGATTTCGAAAGTGAGATACAAACCTGCATAATATTAGCAAGACGGACCATAAGTTCATTCTTCAAGAACGTATATGATGTGGCTGCAGTACCTATCCGACCAAAATCCAGATACTGCTGAATAGACAGCGATGACGGTCGAAACTGACTAAAATGGATGCTATGATTCCGATTTATAAAAGATCTATCACTTTCCAAATGTACCCTTTTTAAGATGGTACGAAAACATACCTGTAATGTTCCACCTTCTTCGCGACTGCGCCAACAAATGGAGCAAAAGTCCTATAGCTGAGACGCATTTAGCTTAAATAAGAAATTAAGAAATCATATTCAAGCATATGGTTGGACATTACATCAATGGAGACGTCTAGATGAATGAACACTTCAACAGCAAGAATACGGTAATAATCTCAGGTGCTACTCTCATTGAACTCAACAAGTTTACAAGTCATAAAACCAAATAGTGGTAATAAGAATACGCCACTAAGAGTACTGCTGGATTTGGGCACTACAATAAGGAACAGATACACACAAAAGAGGAGGAAAGTCAGGAAGAGGGAGGAAAAGTAACGAAGATGAGTAGTGAAGAAAACACTAACAAGAGGCTAGTGAGGATCCTTGAGCTCTATCAATGGAAAACACTGACATACCGTTGAGTGGATGGAGCGCTCTTCAGGACATTAGTAACTCAACTGAAACGATACTTCATTATCAGTACGTCCTTGATGATTACCGCTGCGGAAACTGTTCCTATCGATGTTATCAATTAAACATGGAGAACTGTCAAACCGACCAGACAACATAACTTAGCACTGTTGCGAAATCTCCTTCGATCACTAGGCAAACACGAGAGTGAAAAAAAGCTAAGAACGTAATGATTACTTTTGCCGAAGTTTATTAAAAGTCGGTTTGAAAACTGTAGTGATTCTGAATGGGTTGAACTCTTTGGCAAGTACCTATCTCCTAAGAAAGGATAAAACGTTGATGAATTCCTGAAGGATGCGCCATGCATTCGATTTCATTAAGCATCGTTTGGAGGTGATGGAATGCAAATCTGGCCTTTACGATGACTCACGGTGGCCTATCGATGTAGCGAGTCAGTGCTGCTATCATTGCCGACAAATCTACTACCAATTTGCTGACCCTGGGGAATGGAACGCTTGGTGGACCAGAGGTGCTGGAATTAATCTTATGTGTATTGCAGGGTGCCTCCAATCACTGCGCCACACGCGCCCTTAAGAGAAAACCTATTAAGAGAAAACCTATTCCCTATTGTTCCTAATCACCCCTATAACGTACAAGCCAACTATCTCCATTGTAGTGAAAAAATTCCACCCTATTCTTTATGAAGTCGGTGTTTAAGACTCGAAGACAAGATGAATATGTGGTGAAGCATCTTGCGTAATCAAGCTAAGTGGTACAGATGAATATGAATGAAGACCTACGAATAACATCAGAACATTCTCACTGCCTGAATAGTCAATCCGAGTGAAAAGTCGATGAAATGAAGACAAAAAACGTCTGACTTGTTGAACATACACGTATTCCGCAGCTTCTACTCCTTTGTTACTGCATGCATTGAATGCCATACGTACGTCCCGAAATGACTCCAGAGTGAAAACATCCGAGGGTCTCCCACATCATCGACAACCTTGCCATCTACTAGCTGTATAATGAAACACCATGGGACCGCTGAAGACGAATAAACTCGTTCTAGCAACCGAATTTGATCAAACAACAATTTGTATATTTCTTATTCGACCGCGGGATGAAAATCTGGAGTTGGAAAGCTCGATATAAAACTTGCCTAAGAAAAATTTTTCATAGTAAATCCGAAATCCGAAATAAAATGCATCCAGGTCGATGAATATTATCGAGAAAGTCTGCCTTTGGGAATGGTTTGTAATCTTTGAAACAGGCATCTCACACTTCTAAATTCTATATTCCGAACCACAGGGATGCTGAGATATTTGCAAAACTCCGGATCGTAGGTGTCTTTGGTGGGAGCCGAGCCCGTTAATACCCTTTTTGGGGGTTAACATATTCACCACCACACTATGCGGGTCCTTAGCTCCGCCTTTCTTTCTTGTTCTTTCCATACTTCTGTTTTCTAACCACTTCAAAGTAAATAAGTAAACTCTGGCCCGCCTAGATCAAATACCATGGATGGAAAAGTGTCGTTCGGTTTATGTCTTATGTCTTCATAACTACTTGTAGAATAAGGAAACACGAAAAAACTAGTACTCTTTACACCATACTGTCAATATGTGATTTTCGTTCCCTAACGCTGTTACTTTTTAAAAAAATCATAATTCTGTGTTAAACTGCCCTTTGTTCCGGTGGTGGGTAATAAATTCCCACAGGGAAACACTGAATCGATAAACAGCTGACGGGGCACATAGGATTTTTTGTCGTTGTTTTTACAAAGCACGTAACCCGTACTAATCAGAGGCCCCCAGATCTCGAAAAGTTGCGATGAAGTCGACAGACCCGGGAAGAAATGTGAGTCAAGCAAGTTGGATACCAGGAACTACAGTTTAGTGAATAACAACCACTACGATGCTGAGATCGTTGCAAAACGTGGACTCCAGTCCAGATTCGAACCAGCGACTACCCTTTCCGGAGCCATACGTGTTACTCACTCCATCGCTGCCACTGAAGTCCTTGTTTTGCTTTTCTCTACCTAACGGTGCCATCAGCAATCACCCGTCAACGGGAATGCTCTGAGGAGCCCAAAAAGTTTAGTGGACGATAAAAAATCCAGGAGAGGAAATACAATAACGGACAATGGAACCATCTACGACGTTCTACGCAAGACTTTGCTCACCTACAGTATACTGTTTCAGTTCAGTCGCCTAACACCAAGTCTGCGGTATCAACGATTACAAAGAATTTACTAGAAATGAATGACTACTGAGAGTGTAAAGTCGAACTGAAACGAAGTTCCTGTTGTGAGAACAGCCATTAGTGTTTCTCAAGTCACGTTTGCCTGAAGAAAAAAATGATAGCTAATATCAGAGTGAAAACGTTTTCTGATTGGTAACCGATTTCTACGAGCGATGTTTTCCAACACAAAGAACGACCATACGTGGGTGATCTGGTATGTGAAGGACGAACGGAGACATGTAGAGAAACGGATCACCAAGCTTTTGTCTTACGACAGACGGATTTAATATTCTTCCAATCTCATTCGTATGAGACACCGCTGGCCATTCCAACAATTCCAATAAACCTAACAGTAGACCACATATAAACTAGAGTAACTAAAACTAATTTCAAACAATGAAAAATAAAAAATAAAAATAGAAAATTAACTGAACAGTGAGTGAGTAACTCAAAACGTCAAGTGAGTCTTTTACCAATGGACTGATAAATTAAGCTAAGGAAAACCCATTTTGGAGATTCCATACGTCTGAATTTTAAGTTTTCAGTTTTGAATTTTAAGTATTCAAGTAAATAACCAAAGCAGTTTAAGTACCCGAGTAAGTACCCAGAGTTTAACATGACGACAACAGAACTATATCAGCTCAGTGGCACACCCATGAACGACCAAGCCGTGTTCGATCCACCCAAGAAATGAAAGAAGGAACTGAATAAGCAGATCGATAGGTGAATCACACGGGGTCAGGTTGTACTATCGATTTCATCGGTTTACTATGGTTCTCCTAAAGCGGAAAATCGCTACACATTGTTGGCTTACTGATGATCACTACTGACCAGCAAGAGATAACGACTGATATTAAGAACGTGATCCACACTCGTTGTGCATTGCGTAAATAACGAAATAATACACTTAGGAGCGAAATTGTGGATTAGAGTAACTATCTAGAAGGATTCGCGTTGTCTGCTGGGTACACTCAAGGGTAACCTGTCTCTTTTGAAGTGGAGGTGACACTGTACTGTGGCCCATTTATTACACCTCATATCCACTTCACTCAGGCGCGTGTAGCGCAGTTGTTAAATGTGCCGTGCAATAGGCATGGGTTCGATCCTATGATCCAAGCTGACCAAGCTTTCCATCCCTTCAGGAACGGTAAATTGATACCAAACTTGTCTGAGAGGATAGCAGCACTAGCTGGATACATCGGTAGGCCTCCGCTAATCATTACATAGGCCAGATATGCATTCAATTACCTCTAACATTGCGCAGGGAAGTCGAATGCATGGCGCATCCCCAGGAAACGATCAATGACGCAAGCTTTATCCTTTATCAACCCCACTGGAGTTTTGCCTCTATCGATATGTAAGATGTAAGATGCAATCCTCATTTCCGTAAACATGCTCACCTACTTACGAACACCACCAGTCAATGCGAAAAAGCAGAAAGAGAGGTCTACATTTCAAATCCACTTTCGTTTGATAGGAAATAAGTCGCTTTTGCTCGGCATATCCACCATTTTGAAATAGGAGACTACTTATCGCTGATAAATACTTACTAAAATTGGAGGCTTCCAACGGCTTACCGCCTCATCATGATTGGGAGGTGTTCCCCGAGTGTCGAATTGCGATGTACAGCGGTGGATTCATCCCCCCGGCAACGTCTCCCAAGCTGAGAAAGCGTCCGGCGTTTCCATTAAGAAACCTAGCTAAGAGTAAACCAATAGGATCCACTACTTTCTTGGTATTAAACTAGTCGCATGGTGGCAAATCTCCCTCTGATCTACAAGGGTTGCGACTGCTTGTAGTGGTGACGACCTGGGGTAGACCTTGGCCAGGCTGACCTCAGGACTCCAGGAAGCCACAATGGCTAAACCAACGAAACTCCGAAAAATGGAGATTATGCTGGAACCCGCACAACCAGTAAGGACGGAGCGTCCAAGTGTCCAAGTGTCCAAAATTGGCGCAGACTGTAGCAAATCCTTGACTGGAAAGTAGAACCAAAACGGTAAAACAAGACTCATACAAATCTATGCTAAAGAGCAAGTATAAATAGAAATACATGGTAAATAGTAAGTATATTTAAATGAAAATGGACTTGAATGGACACTTTTCGCCTACTTCGAAGCTACCTTAAAATTAGAACTTACCCTGAAATTCGAAAGATATGAAAATAACCCCGAAGTCATCGTCCAGTACTTCTTCAGTGAGAGGTTTATATATCAGGTGTACTAAAGTAGTGAGGCAACGTGAAGATTTTTCGAAAAGATCTAGATGTAAGGCCTTCACTCATCGATGAAGGCAATCGATAATGGAGTTTCTTGTAAGCCATTAACTTAACTAAAAGTTCGTAAAAGTATTTTCACAATGTTGACTTTTCTATTTACTGCCTTTTCCAAGTTTTAACGTCAGGGTATTATTT